GGTGTGAGGTGAGCTGGGTGATGCGGGGCAACATCGGTAAATGTTGGGGCAACATCGGTAAATGTTGGGGCAACGTTGATCAATGTGAGGCAACGTCGGTAAATGTTGGGGCAACGTTGGTCAATGTGGGGCAACATCGGTAAATGTTGGGGCAACGTTGGTCAATGTGAGGCAACATCGGTAAATGTTGGGGCAACGTTGGTCAACATCGGTCAAAGTGGGTCAGCGTTGGTCAAAGAGGGTCAATGTGAGTCAACGCCGGTCAATGTGGGGCGATATTGGTCAACATTGGTCAAAAAAAACCCAAAAACTGGTCAGTGTGGGTCAATGAGGGTCAGTGTTGGTCAACATTGGTCAGCATTGGTCAACACTGGCCAATGAGGGTCAGTGTTGGTCAATGTGAGTCAATGTGGGGCGATATTGGTCAACATTGGTCAAAAAAACCCCAAAAAACTGGTCAATGTGGGTCAATGTGGGTCAACATCGAGCCAATGTGGGTCAACGTTGGTCAAAGAGGGTCAGTGTTGGTTAAAGAGCGTCAGCGTTGGTCAACACTGGTCAACGTGGGGCAACATCAGTCAATGTGGGGCGATATTGGTCAACATTGGTCAAAAAAACCCCAAAAAACTGGTCAATGTGGGTCAGTGCGGGTCAACATCGAGCCAATGTGGGTCAACGTTGGTCAAAGAGGGTCAGTGTTGGTTAAAGAGCGTCAGCGTTGGTCAACACTGGTCAATGTGAGTCAACGTCGGTCAATGTGGGGCGATATTGGTCAACATTGGTCAAAAAAACCCCAAAAAACTGGTCAATGTGGGTCAATGTGGGTCAACATCGAGCCAACATTGGCCAAGATGAGCCAAGACGGGACAATGTCAGCCAAGATCAACCAACACGGGACAATGTCAGCCAAGATGAGCCAACACGAGCCAACGTGAGCCAATGCTGGCCAAGACGAGACAACGTCAGCCAAGATGAGCCAATGTCAGCCGAGATGAGTCAAGATGGGCCAACGTTGGTTGAGATGAACCAATGGACCAACATGAGCCAAGATGAACCAACGTTGGCCAAGATGAACCAGGACGGACCAACACGAGCCAAGATGAGCCAATGTTGGCCAAGAT